AATGTTTTTTTCTAAGGCACGTTTATAAAAATTACTTAAATGTCCTAATTGAACTATGGCCTAATCCTGGCTTGGCCTAAGCCCTGTCTGTGAAACCAGGCCTAAATCTCAAAAATGTATAATAATTGTTTTAAATTATGTGCTGGTATTACCTTATGAACTGCGCTTACATTACAAGTTGCCACAGTGTGTTCATAATGTAATACATTTCTCATACGATAACCTATTACTGTCAGTCCTGTGTTCCCGTGTCTTGTGTTTTTCTCCCCATGTTCTCCACATTACCTAGTTTCTCCCTCGTGTCTATTATGTTCATTTTTTTCAGCTGGTTCCCGTTAATTTCCTTGATTAGTCCCATTACTTAAGCCTTGTGTCTTTCCATGTCTAGCGTACGGTATTGTTCGTCTATCCCCTCTGCTACGTGTGCTTTTCTTTGGTTTGGATTAATAAAGACTGTTTCAAGAATTTCCCTACGTCTCCTCACTCCATCACAGTAGCAGAAGCAGCATGACAGAATACCGGAACCTACAAAAAGTAAGCGGTGCCCCTTCTGTCCGTGTTTTTGTTTTCTTTTTTCGAGAGTGTCTCGTTTTCTGTTTCTCCCCCACGATCATGGAAACCGCCGCACGATTTGCCGCCCTAGCCCGGAAGGATCTCCCGTTCGTTGAGTATGCCTGGGAATTCTGCGGGCTCGCGGCGAGGACGGCGCTGGACGACGCCACGCTTAACTTTCTGTTCTGGATCTGGGCAAATTAGTTCCGCCCCGTTGACCTCCCAGACACCACGGGACTGAGCTGGAGGGAAGGAATCCTCCGGTGTCTGGAGAGTGTCTGGCCCCGATCCAGAACCAGCTCGCAGTCAAGCCCGCCGGCAGCTCCGTTGTCAAGCCCACTGGCCGCGGTGTTCTCAAGCCCGCCGGACGTTTCGAAGTAAGGCCCGCTGGCCACTCCATTTACCCCTAACCAAAGGAGGAGGATGAGAAGAAAAAGACTGTTCTCCGCCCTCATCCCAGCTCCTGAGCCTGCTCCAGTGTCGGCTCCAGCCCCTGAGCCTGCTCCAGTGTCGGCTCCAGCCCTGAGTCAGCTCCAGTGTCGGCTCCAGCCCCTGAGTTTAGCCCAGAGAGGGCTCCAGTCCCCGTGTTTAGCCCAGAGAGGGCTCATGTCCCCGAGTCTAGTCCAGAGAGGGCTCCAGTCCCCGAGTCTAGCCCAGAGAGGGCTCCAATCCCCGAGTTTAGCCCAGAGAGGGTTCCAGTACCGGAATTTAGCCCAGAGAGGGTTCCAGTACCCGACTTCAGCCCAGAGAGGGCTCCAGTGCCCGAGTTTAGCCCAGAGAGGGCTCCAGTTCCCACGTCCAGCCCAAGGAGGGCTCCAGTCCCCACGTCCAGCCCAGTGAGGGCCGCTGTTCCCACATCCTGCCCACAGAGGGCCTCAGAAACCATTTTTCTTCCCAATAATTTTTT